TTCATTCTTACAGACAGGAAACACTCACTGTCTCAGAAATTAAACTCGGCGTGCCAGTACAAGTCACACTGTTGAGAATACCACAGGTCGGGGAAAGAGAAAGCATGTCAAAAGCCTCCTTCCTCCCTCACCAAACAAGACAGGAAGCGATAATGCCAACACACACAGCTCACCAGTGCTACAGCCTGCAAACAACCAGAGACTGAGAAAACCACCACACTGAGGATATCTATAGTGAAGGCATCTACCTACAACCTAGACCACCATCAAAGCACTCACAAGCAAAAGCAAAGATTCTTACCCATCATATGCTACAGGAATGCCCTTATGAGTGAGGGGGGAAAGAGAAACCTCATCTAAACAAAAGAAAATCCAAAAATAAGAAGTGACAGCTGTTCCAGGTGAGAGGCAAAAACATCAAGGTACACTTACATAGGAAAACCCACCGAGCTAACTTCAGACTTCTGAAGAGAGACCTTACAAGCCTAAAGGGATTGGAACCCTATTCAGTCTTCTTAACCAAGCAACTTCCACTTAGAGTCTGGTATTCTGCAAACTAAGTTTGATTGTGATGGAGAAAAAAGACTTTTCTCAGACAACAACACTAAGAGAATTTGTCAAGATCAGACCTGCCTGCAGGAAACATGAGAACTGCATTAATATATGGTTCAGGAAATAGATACCCACCAGTGTGAAATGCCCAAAGATGAAACCTCAGAGTTCGTATAAACAACTACATAACAGAATTGTAATGGTGGGGGATTCAACATCCACTGACAGAATGGAACAGTTATCCAAGCAGAAAAAAGAAAGAAACACTGGACTGTTATAGAGGCACAATCTCACTGGGGTAGGTGATTGCGGTTTTGATTTGCATTTTTCTAATGATTAGAGATGTTGAGCACTTTTTATATGTTGTGCCATTATTCTGACTTCTTTTGAAAAGCTTCTGTTCATTTACTTTGCCCATTTATTGATGCGGTTGAAAAATCCTAAAACAACAAATGCTGGCGAGGATGTGGAGAGACAGGAACACACTTACACTGCTGGTTGGACTGCAAACTAGTGCAACCTCTGTGGAAAAGAATTTGGAGATACCTCAAACAGCTAAAAATAGAGATACCATTCTATCCAGCAAGAACACTATTAGGCATCTACCCCAAAGAGTAAAAGATATTCTATACTAAAGACATCTGCACCCGAATGTTTATGGCAGCACAATTCACTATTGTAAGAACGTGGAAACAACCCAAGTGCCCATCAGTTCATGAGTGGATTATTAAAATTTAGTATATGTATACAATGGAATATTACTCAATTCTAAGAAATGAAAATGATCTAGCACCTCTTATATTTTCCTGGACTGAGCTTGAGCCATTATTCGAAGTGAGATATCACAAGATCAGAAGAATAGGCTCCACTTGTACTTGCTATCAAATTGGTCCTGACTGATTAACACTATGGTGCTCACATGGTAGTAACATTCTTCGGGGATTAGGGGATTGCGGGGAGTAAACTCACAACTAAAGGACACGGTGAGCATTGTAGAGGAGAGGGGCATGCCTCTAACCCTTGCTTGGGTGAGGCAAATACATAAAATGTAACCAAAATGTTTGTACTCCCATAATACTCAGAAATAAAAAAAGAAAAAGAAAAGAAAAGAAAAGAAACATCAGACTTAAACCTGACTCTAGAATAAATAGGCCTAATAGACACAGAATATTTTATCCATAAACAGCTGAATATATTGTTCTTATCAGAACATAGAACATTCTCCAAGATTAACCATATTTTAGGGTACAAAACATCTTTTAGAAATTCAAGAAAATAGAAATGATACCATGTATCTTCTCAGACCAAAGTGGAATAAAACCAGAAATGAACGAAAAGAGAAACATTCAATTCTACACAAAATCACTGACCTGCTTCTGGATGATTATTGCATGAATAATTAAATTAATATGGAACTCAAAAGATTCCTCTAACTGAATACACGAGGGAGAAGAAGCTATCAAAACTGTAGAATGCAGTAAAAGCAGTCTAAGGGAAATTCATAGCCTTAAAGACCTATATCAAAAAGACAGCAAGGTCACATTTTAACAAACTAATGACACATTTCAAGAACTAGAAAAGGAAGAGCAAAAACATGAAAGCCGCAGAAGAAAAGAAATAACTAAGGTCAGAGAACTAAACCAAAAAATAATACAAGTGTCAATGAAACAATAGTTTTCATTGAAAATATAAACAAAATATACCTTTCCTAGATTAGCACCATATGAAAAGAAAGGACCCACATGGCTCATTCAGAAATTAAATATAAGGTATTACACCTGATACAACAGAAAAGAAAATATAATCATAAATACTATGAAATTTCTACACATATAAAATTAAAGAAAATGAGAGGAAACAGAGAATTCCTGGACATACATCTCCCAAGCAATGAGTAAAATAGAATTCCTGAACAGATTAATAAACATAGTGAGACTGAAGCAGTAATAAACATCTTCCAACAAAGAAAAGTCCCAGATCAGATGGATTCAGGGCTGAATTTTACCAGACTTCCAAAAAACAGCTGGTACACATACTGCAGAAATTATTGCATAACATTGAGAAGGAGGGAATACTCCCAAATCATTCTATAACCCAATATTCCATTTGATACCAAAAAAGGGAGGACACAAAAAATAAGAAACAACAGGCAGTACATTCTAATTCTAGAATATTACTATCAAATTGATTCAAAAGCACATAAAATAGTAATAATCCACCATGACCAAGTGGGCTTCATCACAGTGATACAAGGATGGTTCAACATACATAAATCAATAAATGTGTTTCTCCACATAAGAATAAGTGAAAACAAAGACCAGATGATTATCTCAATAGATGAAGAAAAATGATTTGTCAAAATTCAGCACCATTTCATGATAAAAAACCCTTCAGAAAACTAAGCATAGAAGGAACATATCCTGAAATTATAAAAGTCATGTATTACAATCCCACAGCCAACATCATATTGAATGGGAAAAGTTCAAAGCATTTCCACTAAGAACTGGAACAAGACAAGGGTACCCACTGTCACCACCTTGATTCAACATAATGCTGAACGTTCTAGCCCGAGCAATCAGGCAAGAAAAAGAAATAAAGGGTGTCCAAAGAGGGGAAAAGAGGTCAAACTGTAGCTTTTTGCTGATGACAATGATCTTATATCCAGAAAACCACAAAGACTCCTCCAAGAGACTCATGGAATTGATAATAAATTCAGCAATGCCTCAGTTACAGAATCAATGTACACAAGTCAACAGCATTCCTATATACCAGTAATAGTCAAGCCTAGAGTCAAAGAAAAGACTCAATGCCATTCACAATAGCTACAAAGAAAATAAACAACCTAGGAATATATTTAACCAAGGAGATGAAAGATCTCTATAAAGAGAACTATGAAACACTGAACAAAATTGCAGATGACACAAACAGATGGAATAATATATCATGCTCATGGATCAGTAGAAACAACATGGTTAAAATGTCTATACCATCCAAAATGACTTACAGATTCATGCAATCTCCATCAAAATACCAACATCATTTTTCACAGATCTAGAAAAAATAATTTCCAAATTATTTCCAAAATTACACTTTGTTTGGAACCTGAAAAGACCCCAGATAACAAAGCAACCTTAAGCAAAAGGAACAAATCTGGAGGCATCACCTTTCCAAACTTTAAGCTCTACTACAAGGCTATAGTAACCAGAGCAAGGTGCTGGCACATAAATAGAGACATAGACCAACAGGAAAGAACTGAGAACCCAGATATAAAACCATCTACCTATAGTCAATTGATCTTTGACAAAGCAGACAATAATATACCCTAGGGAAAAGAAAACCTATTAAATAAATGGTGCTGGGAAAATTAGGTAGCCACATGCAGAACAATAAAACAGGACCCCTATCTCTCACCACTCATAAAACTTAACTCAACATGGATAAAAGACTTAAATATAAGGCATGAAACCATAAAAATTCTGGGGGAAAATGTGGGAAAAAGTCTTCTTCTAGATATTGGCCTAGGCAATGAATTTACAAAAAAGAGCCAATGGCAATCACAGCAACAACCAAAGTAAATAAATGGGATTTATTTAAACTAAAAAGCTGCTGCACAGCCAAAGAAATAATTAACAGAGCAAATAGACAATCTGCATAATGGGAGAAAATATTCACAAGCTATGCCTCCAATGAAGGACTGATAACAAGAATTTACAAAGAATTCAAGCAAATCAGCAAGAAAAAATCAAACAACCTCATTAAAAAATGAGCAAAAGACATGAACAGAAGCTTTTCAAGAGAAGTTAGACAAATGGCCAATAAACATGAAAAAATGCTCAAAGTCACTAGTCACCAGGGAAATGCAAATAAAAATTATAATGAATTATTACCTTACCCCAGGCAGAATGGTTTTTATCAAAAAGTCCCCAAACAATAGATGCTGGCATGGATGCACAGAGAAAGGAAGGCTCATACACTGTTGGTGGAATTGCAAATTAGCATAACTTCTATGGAAAATGGTGTAGAGATTCACCAAAGAACTGAAAGTAGACCTACCAGATGATTCAGTGATCTCACTACTTCATATTAACCCAAAGGAAGCGAAGTCCTTTTCTCATGCATGTTAATGTTTATTGCAGGATAATTCACAATTGTAAGGATATAGAATTAACAAAGATGCCCCTCAATTCATGTATGGATCAATAAAATCTGGTCTGTGTATACCATGGAATACTAGGTGACCATGAGGAAACATGGATTAACGCCTGTAGCAACAAGTTGGATGGAATTGGAGACCATTATCCTAAGGAAAGTATCTACTGAATAGAAAAACAAACACTACTTTCTATTAAATTAAAACTGAGAGATGAGCACACATTTGCACAGAGGGAAGGAAAACTCAGCGGAAATCAAGCAGGGGAAAGGTGGTTAGAGGGGGTGGGCAAAAACCTACCTAACAGGTACAATGAACATTATCTTGGTGATGGGCACACTTACAATCCTGACTCAGCATAACAAATTTGATACACAGAACCAGAAACATTTGTACCCCTGTAATAATTCGAAATAAAATAAATAAATAAATTTTATAAAAAGAGAAATTTTGTTCTGAGAAAAAAAAAACTACAGACTTGGACAAAATATATGCAAATCACACATCCAACAACACACATGTATCAATAATACATAAAATCTCTCCAAACTGTACATTTAAAGGACACTTTCACTGAATAGGATATATAGCCAAATAGTCACATTAAAGGTACTCAAAATCATCATCCCTGATGAAGTGCAAATTAAAACTACAATGAGATATTAATATATAGCTAATAGAATGGCAAAATTTAAAAATAGTGTTACCATGAATTGTTGGTGAATGTGCAAAACACGTCGGTTATTCCTATATTATTTTTGAGAGTGTCAAACAGTATAGCCACCTGAAAATAGTTTGACTCTTGCTTTTAAAACTATATATAGCTTGCAATATGTCCCAGCAATTTCACTCTTGGGTATATATCCCAGAGAAGTAAAATTTTACTTTCATACAGAATCTTCTACATGAATATCATCACTGACTTATGTAGAATAGCTTAAAATTGGACACTGCCCAAATGAGTGAAGGTTAAATTACCCTTCTTTTAATTTATGTATGTATATATTTGTTTCAACTTAAACTAACTGAAACTTTACTTTTTTCAGTAACATCTACTATCAAAATACCCAAAATTCTAAATTGTGGGAGCAAGGAAACATTTCAGCAAACTTTCTGAGATATATTTTGTTCTTAACCTTCAAGTCTTTAGCTCCCGTGTCTCAAGCTGCTGTATTAATTTATTCATACATCTACAGTTAATTAGAAATATAATTGTTGCCTCAGTATATTTGACATACAAATCCATACCTCAAGTATTTATTCATATATATAGTTCTAACTGTAAAAATTATGTTTAGAAAATGCAAATATTTTATATTTGCTCATGACTTTTCACCAAATAAATTTAAAAATAGTTCCACATACCATTAATATACTGTGGGTGTGGAAGATTTAATTGTTTTTCCCTTTTGATATTACAGTTAAATTCAGAGATTCCATTTGACTGTGAACTATATAGCACATCATAATAGGCAATGTCCTTGCCATATACAGACTACATGGTAAAACTATCACCTTTTCTATAAGTTAACTATGGCTATGTACAAAACTCTGAGTTATAAAAAGAAATATTCTGGAAACCATGGTTAAAATTAAGAGAGGAAGCTTTAAACTTTTCACTTCTTGATTAGAATTAAAAGACACACAATTTTGGTTGGAAGTATGGCAGTCACCAACCACAATGGCTATTTAAATTTAAATTAAATAAAGTAAAATAAAGCTGAAATTTCAATTCTTTCATTGCACTATCCACACGTCAGGTGTTCAATAACTACATGGGACAGTGGGGATATAGACCATCTCTATGAAGGCAGAGAACTTTATTGGAACACACTGTTCTAAAGACTAACCTCCTGGAGACCAATTCCCATCATCTATGCTTCCTCCTGGTGATTGTGGGTCTACATCACACTTTGGGGGAAAATATCCAGGATTACAATGACAATGAAAGACATCGTTGCAAATCTAAAACCAAACCAAAATAAAATAAGAACATTTTATATACAACATAAAAATTAAATGCATTATTTTTAGATTGTTAGTCAATGTAAATTATTAAAACATTATAATTTAGTATAATGAGTTTTTAGTTTAATGTGGAAATAATTTTCAACATAAAAAGTAGTACAATAAATGTCCATGTAATATATTTTTAAATATCATAGAGACATTGTCTTATTTGTCTCTTTTATTTCCAAATAAAGGTAAATAACATTCTCGATTAAATTCAAATGTCTTTTGCTAGAAAGCATAGAGATTATGAAGCTAAAATATAGAATGATAATTTAGCATGAATTGTGCTAGATTTAAAAATATAGCTGTGATAATAGCCAAACTTTTATGAAAATGGGAAAAAAGCCAAAAGGTAGAAGTTTGCTTAATGAGATTCACATAGCAAAATGTATGTGGAAGGTGAGAAAATTTGCATAATTGTGATGTGGCGAATGAATAGGAAAGGGCTAGTAGAGAATTCAGAAATAAGTTCATACATAAATAAGTACATTAAAAGTATATAAGAAAGAAAAAAATAAAAAATATATTGCAAATAATAGGACATATTGGGAGAAAAAATTGTTTGAAGACACAGAAACATGTCGCTTTTTATCGAAATTACAACATAAAATAAGAATCATCAGAATGGCAGAAAACACTGGCCACAAAGTTAAAGCAAATAGCATGCTTGGAAAAATTTACAAAGTTAACAAAATTTCTATAACCTAGTAGGTAAATTTATAATGGATAGACAAATAAAATGCAAATGACAAATATGACCATATATACTTAGAAACTGTCATTAATCATCAAATAAAATCAAATTCCTAATGGATTTAGCATGTTAGAAGAGAGTAAAAAGACTAATAATCTAGTCTTGCTAGAATATAAGGAAATACACATTTTTGTACATGATTGATGGGAGAACAAAATGGCATAATGTTTCTTGAAGCCAATATAATGCTTATGAAAATTCAAATAGTGCAAATATTTGGTCCAATCAGATTACATTGCTAATTATTTAAGAAATCAGATAAGTGTGCAAAGGTGAATTTACAGCAATGTCTACTTTACCACTATTCACAATAGTTAAATTCTAACATTATTTGAAAGGCCATCCAATAAATGACATTTCAAATATTGTATTTGTACTGTATGGGGACATAAATTGAAGCTATTGAAGGATGAAACAGATCTGAATGTATAGAAAACTTTGATCCCAGAAAAATATTAGATTAAAAGCAATGTGTTTAATAGTTTGTGAATGTTTATAAATTTATACATAAAATTATAAATAATATGTATGTATAAAAGTATATGTATAATCCTTAATACACTCATTTCCAAAATATCACAATCTTAAACATTATAATAATGTTTCACATTGAATACTTGTACAAAGTTCATAGTTATTTGCTCATGAAAACCCTAGCAATCTGATTGATTATAAACATAAATAATGTATATGTATAAATGATGAAATCTACTGTCCTTATTTAATGGCAATATTCCAAATGAAATTTTCACAACAAATAATTGTGAATTTTATTACTATGGAAAATGTCATTGACATGGATTAAAACATTTATACTTAAGAAGAGAGTAACAGTTACATACCCCATGTCCTTGGCAATGTTTATCTGAACTACACCGAGTCCAATTCCTCTTCTCTTTAACTAATTCACATCTGAACCCACTGCAACCCTAAAATATTAAGTTAAAAAACAACAAAAGCAAAATGCAAAGTCAAAAGATGAGGAATAAAATTTGTAAAAAATTTATGCGCACATAATTTTATGGAATAAACACAACAGATGAATCTGACTTTCATAACATCTCTTTATTTTTAATAAAAACATGGAGTCAAAATAAAAATAGTATGTTATTACTCAATAAAATGTGAAATGTTGCAAATGAGATACTATTTTTTCTTTTAAGAGAGCAGAGCTATACTGTTTTTGTTACAAATTTGTGCAGGAAAATAATACCTAAATTGTAATCACAATTTGTAATTTCTAGGGCCCATTTAGCACTTTTTATGCATTTTATATTATATATTCCCATATACCCTGAGAAGGAGATATTTTTATGTATATTTTTTATTTGAGAATAATTAAGCTTACAATTTTAAAGTCATGTCATGAGTTATTGACATAGCAATTTTTCAAAGCAAGAACTGCTTTACTCTTGGGTTCTCAGTTCTGTTCCACTGGGGTATGTCCCTGTTCTTGTGCCAGTGCTATGCTGTTTTAGTTACTATAGTCTTGTAGTATAGTTTAAAGTCATATAGCTATCTAATCTTTGACAAAGCAGATAAAAACATACACTGGGGAAAATAATCCTTATTCAATAAATGGTGGTGGGAAAACTGGATAACCACACATAGAAGACTGGAACAGGATCTGCACCTTTCACCTTTCACCAAAATCAACTAATGGTGGTTAACAGACTTAAACCTAAGGCGTGAAACTATAATAATTCTAGAAGAAAATACTGGAAAAACTCTTATATACATTGGCCTAGGCAAATAATTTATGAAGAAGACCCCAAGGTCAATCACAGCAACAACAAAAAGAAATAAATGGAAACTGATCAAATTAAACAGCTTCTGCAAAGCCAAAGAAACTATTATGAGAGCAAATAGAGAACCTACAGAATGGAAGAAAATTTCGCATGCTACACATCCGATAAAGGGCTGATAACTAGAACCTACATAGAACTCAAGAAAATCAGTAGGAAAAAAAATCAAAGTACCATAACAAATGATAATAAAGTATATTATTAATTGGAGGAGAAAAATGGCGGAGTAGGGGTGCCCTCCTGGCATTCTGCTTCCAGAGCAAAAAGTGAAGAAAGCGGATAGCCACACTCCAGCAATCTGCACTTCCAGGAGACCAGCTTTGCAAGCCTGCAGATATCCAACAGGAAACAGAGGGATAAGACCATTTGCAGCCTAAAGCAAAGGTGAACCGATCATTCTTCTGCAAAACTGGGGGATTCGGAGGCACACATCAGGGAGGGAGCGAGGCGCAGCTTAAGCTGCTGCCAGCTGGCAGTGGCGCCAGCCCTACCCGGCGCTGAGAAACACCCCCTCCCACACCGAGCTCCACTTCCACGTAGGCCAGGAGGTGCCTGAAGTTAGTGAGAAGTGGCAGCACGGGACTAAGCCGTGTGGAGAGGAGACTAGAGCAGGGAACGCGCTGAGTTAGCCAGAGCGCACAGCAGCCGCAGTTTAAGGTGGGGGAGGGTCGGCGCGCAGCAACCGCTGTCCGGGCAGCAGGAACCAGAGCGTGCTCGGGCATCTCCCTGCAGGACACTCCCAGGTCAAGGTTAAGGGGAGTTTACACAGAAGGAGGCTTTGACTTTGGATATAGAGGAGGTTTGGGATAGCACTGAGAGGTCAGATTGCGCAAAGTTAGACTCCTTGATCCATTAGGACGCCCTCCCTCTGCCCCTCCGGCACCACTCCCGCCCCTGCATTCCAGCGCTGACTCGGCATTCCAGCGCTGACTTGCGCTCCGGGTTTGGAGAGGAGGCGCAGAGAAAGCCCTGGTTCGCGCCGCTGCTCCACCAATTTGATATTGGACCCTCACTTGCTGCACAAGCGGCACTGACTCTGTGCTCAGAGAGTGGACCCTACCTGGATGGGGCAGTGCTACAGGGGAGATTGCCCTTGGCGGATTTAAGGCAGAGAAACATTGCCTTCCACACTCTTCTTCAACCCGGAGCCCCGTTCTGGGCTCCAAAGTCTCTGTCCCAGCCTTGGGGGCGGAGCTGAGATAGAAACTGTTCTCATTCCTGTAGCTTATCTCCACCTGGGTAATTCAAGAGACAAAAGACAGGGATAGGTGGGTCCCATTGACTGCCTGCCTGCTTTTGGTCAGTCTCACCCTGCACAGGTCTCCCGCGCGCTGTGCCCAGAGTGTGGAGCCCGCCTGAGCAGAGCTGGGCCTTGCAGGAGGCAGCTGTCAGTGGTTACAAGGCAGAGATATTTTACAACCCCCATATCCGGGGATTTGGGGGTAGGCCTTTGGCTCCAAAGTTTGTATCCCCGCCTTGGGGGCGGAGCCGAGATAGAAACTGCTCCCGTTCCTGCCGCTTATCTCCTCCTGTGGAATTAAAGAGACAGAACAAAGGGCCTGGTGGGTCTGGCTTCAGGACAATCTCTCACTGCACAGGTCTCCCTCGCTCTGTGTCCAGAGTGCAGAGCCCGCCTGGCAGGAGATACCCTGGAAGGAAGCTGCCCTTAGCTGCTATAAGGCAGAGAGTCTTTACGTCTACCACGTCCTGTTTCTTGTGGCTGAGCCTTGGATCCTAATTCTCTGCCCCCAACCCCCTCAACCCCCAAATTGGGGGCGGAGCTGAGATAGGAACTGTTCTCATTCCTGCCGCTTATCTCCACCTGTAATTGAAGAGCAAAAGCAGGGATAGTGGGTTCCTTTGACTGCCTGCCTGCTTCTGGTCAGTCTTTGCACTCTGTGTCCAGATGCTGAGCCGCCTGGCAGAGCTTAGCCTCGTGGGAGATTCCCTTTATGGCTATAAGGCAGAGACTTTACGTCCACCACGCTCCAGTGTCTTGTGCTGAGCCTTTGGCTCCAAAGTTCTGTCCCTGCCTTGGGGGCAGAGCTGAGATGAGGACTGTTCCCATTCCTACGCTTATCTCCACCTGTGCAATTAAAGAGACAGAAGACAGGGTTCCCTGGGTTTGGCTATGGACCTACCGGCTCAGCCAATCTCTATCTGCACAGGTCTTCTGGCTCGGTGTCCAGGCCCTGGAGTTTGCCTGGCAGGCAAGCCTTGTAGGAAGCAGCCTTGTGAATACAGACAGAGAGATGTTACAACCCACACATTCTGGTGACCTTGGAGCTGGGCCTTCCATTCCAAAGTCTCTAGCCCCGCCTTGGGGGGAGCTGAGATAGGAACTGCTCGGTTCCTGCCATCTATTTCCACCTGTGTAATTAAGGAGATCAGCAGGAAGGGTAGGGTAATTGGCTGTTTCCCCTCCGCTACATCTCGGACTGCTGTCTCCCCAGCGGGTTGAGAGACCTGCAGACACCACCCCAGCGAAGGCTGCTGACAGAGAGCAACTCTACCTACTGCCTCAGAAACTAAACAAGACGTGTGAATACCCAAACGAAAACCTTTTGGCAAGTGGAACACAGAAGGCTGCGTGGCAGTTCTAATTTCAGACGATTTAGTTTTTAAACCAACAAAAGTAGTGAAAGACAAAGAGGGTCATTATATAATGGTGAAGGGCACAGTCCAACAAGAAGAGATAATAATTTTAAATATATATGCACCCAACTTAGGTGCACTCAGTTTCATAAAGCAAACCTTACTGGATCTAAGCAAATGGATTAATAGCAACTCCATAATCACCGGAGATTTCAACACCCACTGACGGCTCAAGACAATCCTCCAAACAGAAAATTAATAAAGAAATAATGGACTTAAACAAAACTCTAGACCAATTGGGTCTGACTGACATCTACAGGACATTGTACCCCAAATCCACTGAATATACGTTCTTCTCATCAGCTCACGGACATTCTCTAAGATTGACATATCCTAGGACACAAAAACCTCAAGAAATTTAAAAAAATAAATCATACCATGTATCTTCTCAGATCACAGTGATAAGGGTAGAAATCAACCTAACAGAAACTCCACATTTCTACACAAAACATGGAAATTAAACAACCTCCTACTAAATGATTGCTTCATAAATGAAGAAATCAAGATGGAATAAAAAAATCTATATGAGAAAATGACAATGAGAGACATGTTATCAACTCCTCTGGGACACAGCTAAAGCAGTTCTGAGAGGAAAGTTATCTCCATAATGCCTATAACCAAAGTCAAAAAGTTCAGAAATAGCCAATCTAATAAAATGACTCAAGAGCTGGAGAAAGAAGCTCAGAACAGCCCCAAACCAGCAGAAGGAGTGAAATCAACAAGATCAAATCAGAACTAAATGAAATTGAAAACAGGGAAGCTATTCAGGAGATTAACAAAACAAAAGTTGGTTCTTTGAAAAATAAACAAATGACACGCACTGGCTAAGCTAACGAAAAGCAGAAAAGAGAAATCTCTAATAAGCTCCATCAGGAAAAAAAGGAGATATCACAATGATCCAAAGAGATCAATATATACATTTATGAGTACTACAAAGATATTTATTCACACAAACTGGAAAATGTGTAGGAAATGGACAAATTTCTAGAAATACACAGCCTCCCTAGGCTCAACCAGGAAGAAATAGATTCCATGAACAGCCAATCCAACAGCTGAAATAAAACGCAATTAAAATCCCCCTAAAAAGAAAAGTCCGTCAGATGGCTTCACACCGAATTTACCACACTTACAAAGAGAACTAATACCTATCTTGCAGAAACTCTTCCACAACATCGAGAAGAATGGAAAACTCCCTGACACCTTCTATGAAGCGAATATTACTCTGATACCAAAACCAGGAAGAATTCACAAAAAAAGGAAACTACAGACCAATATCCTAATGAATATAGATGCAAAATTTTTCAACAAAATCTTAGCTAACCAAATCCAGACGCTTATCAAAAAATAATCCTCATGACAAGTGGCTTCATCCCAGGAAAGAAGGGATGGTTCAACATATGCAAATCTATAAATGCAATTCACACATAAACAGAAGCAAAACAAAGACACATGATTCTCTCAATAGATGC